TCTCTCTCTTCCTCTCTCTCTCTCTCTCTCTTCCTCTCTCTCTCTCTCTCTCTCTCTCTCTCTCTCTCTCTGTATCTATTATATTGTTACGTAATTACAAAGTTCAACTTTATGTGTGCCTATGTCTTTATGTATGTGCGTGTTTGGGTCTGGTATAAATTATCATGTTCGAGTCGTGTCTCTGTGTATGATTCTGTGTCTGTCTGTGCACGAATTAGTGCGTGTCTGGAATTAAAAATACAATATTGTGTTTTTGAGCGTGTATGTGTGTATGTATGTCTGTGTGTGTACGTGTGTATGTGTGTATGTGTGAATGTATGCGTGTGTTTGTGTCTGTGTGTATGTTTGTATGTGTGTTTGTGTCTGTGTGTATATGTGTATGTGTATGTGTGTGTGTGTGTGTGTGTGTGTGTGTGTATGTGTATGTGTGTGTGTATGTGTCTGTGTGTGTGTGTGTCTGTGTGTGTATGTGTGTGTGTTTGTGTTACTTTTCCATAGTTGTGGGTACCGAAGGAGCAACGAAGTAACCTACTAATATCGTGTTTCTTTACTTAATCCAGCCAGCATTCCTGAGCGTACACCAAAAGTAAGGCGTCGGTAGTCTAGATCTAGTGGTTAGTACACCGTCCTGACTGTAAACGTGAGAATATGGGCTCGGGGGTTCGAGGCTTCGCTCAATCCGACGTTGTGCCCAAGGGAAAGGCTCTTTGCTTTATACAAAGGTTCACATTTGGCTCGTTTTTGTCGGAGATAGTCCTTACAAATCGGGGGTTCCGCCTCGTATAAATTAAAACCTTGCAGTAGTGAAAGGGGTTGTAAACCCTAAATGAGGGTTCGTCCAAATGGAAAGGATAATGCTTTGTTGACACCTGTAGGGGTTAGGTCAATGGTTATACATTATGTAAATACATAACAGAGCCATGACAAGAGTGCAGATGTATTCTTTTCGGAAAAAGACACACACACACAGGCGTAAATACACACACAAACACACACACATACACACACACACACACACACACACACACAAACACACATACACACACATACACACACAAACACACATACATACAT